AAGAGAAATGAGGGGTCTATTTATAGATTTTTGGAGTGGCATGGCCTGTAAATAGGTGAGAGATCAAGGGTAAATGGGGAGTGGTTGGTGGACGGCCAATATTGAATCCCTTGATCATGGACCGTTTGTCGGGCATTTGGAGGCCTTAATGATTTCAAAATTCAGTGATCTTGGGCTCGTTGGATTTGTCTCGTCGAGCCGCTCGATTCGGCTATAAGCTAGTCATATTTGGAAATCGTTTGGTAACTCAAACAGTGGTACGAAGCTTCCAAACGCACTCCGGGTCCTTTATTTGGACTTGTTTGGGCTTGGATTGAGTCGAATTTTGTGTCGTTGGGTTCGTATTTCCAAGACGTTCAGTTCGACTATAAGTTTGCTGAAATCGGAGTTGAGATGGTCTCCGAATTAATTTTTGAAGTTTCCAACTTGATTTTGCACCGAGATTCGCGCCCGATCAAAATAATTTTTGACGATGTATCAATAATATTATCCAAACAAAGGAGAAAAAGAAATGGAATAACCCAGGAGCAACTCTCTCTCTCCTTGGTGGACAAAATAACTAATTGATGTAATTGATATGATTACAATGACAAAGTTATGATTCAAATCCAAAGAAAATCATACAATATAATCTAGATCATATAATTTAATTTAATAGAAATGTGAATTATTCAATAATTAGGATTTATGATTTAATTTTAATATAATTATTTGTGTGTTTGAGTCAATATGTACTTAAACAATTAATTTTAATATAATTATTTAAACTTTCTCACATGTTGAATTTGTTTGACAGTCACTCTACGAAGATCGAGCTTTCCGCGAGATGTTCCATATTTTATTTTTTAGACTTACACATTTTCGTTTTCACTTTTCCTTTGAGGATGCTATTTGTACTACTATATGTGAAAAATATCAAGACTTACAATATATATGGATTGAGCCTACGAGAGTTGAGAGAAAGAGATAAGAGATTAAAGCTAAAAAATTGTCTTTAATTATCTAGGTTTAAAACAAGCACAATTACCCAGTTAGATAAAAAGGAAGAGAGAGGCAAACGAAGCTTAAAAAAATGTAATAGAGAATATTTGTCACATAATTTAAAGGGATGTCTCTAGGACCATATTTTGGCCAAAACTCCAGTCGAAGATTTCGCCCCCAAGCCGAACCCCTCTCCTCTCCAGTCTCCTTGAGTTGCACGCCCTGATATTCTTCTCCAGCCGTCGGACTCGTCCATCTCCTCTACCCTAGTCATCGGCTCTCCACTTTGCTCTAGGTAAATTCCCTAACAAAGTGCTCGATAATCTCCTATTATTAATGCTTTGATGCTCATCCAAACACACATAGAAAGATTGATGTATTCTTCTTGTTTGTAAGGCTAGAGAGGGACTTGAAGCTAAACATGAATTATGGAGGTCAACCTTAGGGGTTGTTTGGTAGAATCAAGGATTTCATTTAAGTAGGATTCGTAAATCCTTCAAATCCGAATTTACGAAATCCTGAGGGGTTAAATCTTGAGAAATGTTTGGTAACCTTCATGAGAAAGCGGGTATCATACTAAGAAAATACATATATGATTTTTTATATCATATTATTTCGCTATCACTTTTAATAATAAATATTATTCTATACATAATAATCCCCAATGTGCATGGATGTTGTATATGAAAAGTGGGCAAGTTAATGCTAATGCTAAATTATTTTTGATGGTGTAAAAGAGAGGTCTACTTGACATAAATTCAAAAGAAGAGTTTCACATTATACTGCTTCCATCTAATCATAATTGATTTCATATTTCCAGAGACAAGGACTCAGAGATGACACTCATAGTATTGTACCCCTTCAACAAAATGATTTGCATCTTTAGTAAAATCAAGATAATTCAAGGTCACTCTCAATCAATTAATCAACAACTTTATTACTAAAACTCAAGGAGCGCCAATATTGTTTGATCATTATATTCAAATATTTGTATTTTCATCATGATAAAATTTGATAATAAATTTGTATCGATAATTTTACCATTACATATATCATTCTTGGTATATATCTCACAAAAAGAGAGTGTCTAAAGTGCTTTTAGAGAATTACATACATGATCAGATGTTGTTAGAGGAAGGCAGAGGGGGAAGGTATATGGCTTGGCTTCGCAAGACTATGCTTATGAGGGCAGTTCATCCACCTCAGCATTTTATGATCCTAGTCGAGCTGAAGAAAGTGTAAGCAAGAGAGTTGCATCATTGACGAGAGAGATAGAATATATGAGAAAGGTTAAAAATGAGATGCAGGCAGAGCTGCAATCATATAGAGATGAAAATCAAAAGAAGAAAGTGCAAGAGCAGCCACATGCATCACCAGACAACGAGGACACGGAGGATGATTAGTACTCTTATTTGTTTGATGAACTTATGATGAACTTATATGTGAACTTATTTGGTTTAAAGATTTGGTTTGATGAACTTGTTGTGTGAAATCAAATTCTTTATTTGTTTATTTGGTTTGATGAGTTAATTTATTTTGATGAGCATTGTAGAATTTATAATAGTTGTGATTGATTCTAGTGGCGTGTTGCCAATATAGTGGCGTGTTATACATATTTGTGATAATTGTTATCTATTTTGTGTAGGTTTAGAGTTTATGATAAAAATCAATAAAATAAAGGGGAAGCTGTCAAATTTTTTTTTCAATTGCTACAGGTTTTCGGCGGCCAACCGGCAGTTTGGCCGCCAGAAACATCGATACCGTACGGCTAACATAGCCGCCAAAAGTTCACTAAAGCTGTCGGTAATTTCCGGCCGTTTACTGATGATTGTTGGCAGTTATCCATCGATAATCCGGCGGTAATGCCGCCTGTAATTCCTGTGGTTCTGACAGCCGGTAAGCCGCTAGTGATTAACTGCGATTTACTGGCGGTCACCGGTGGTCAACCGACGATGATCTGACGGTTTGATTGTCGGTAATACTGGTGGTTTTCATAGCCAGTACGCCGCCGATAACTAACCGGCAGTCACCGGCGTTAGCACCGTCAGAAATTACCGGTCGTTTCCAACACCGGAAAGCCGCCGGTGATATAAACCTTCGAAAATTGGCCGTCAGAAACAGTTTCCTACGCGGTTTATTCCAGCAGTTTTAAAACCGCCGGGAAGCCGCCAGTTTGTTTTAAAACCACCGAAAATCTATCACTAATCGTCGGTAATGCCTGAATTTCTTGTAGTGATAAATGTCTTTTCCGTAATCTATCATATTCTTGCTTATCAATGCTTATTACTATGAATGTTATGTCAAGCTGTAAATATGAAGAAGATATGGGGCAAATTCGGGGTACTCCATCAGATAGCTCTTGTTGATCCCCTCGATCATACAATATTTGCCAATTATTTATGTTCCCAAATGATGTTAGAATTAAAAGATCTTGGGCTCATTGGATTCGTCTCGTCGATCTGCTTGATTCGATCATATGCATGCTATATTTGAATACCATTTGGTCATCCAATTTATGCTTTGAATCTTCCAAATGTGCTTCGGGTTCCCGATTTGGACCCATTAGGGCTCAGATTGGACCAATTTTGATGTCATTGGATTTGTTTATTTGAGACATTTAGTTTGACTATAAGTTTGCTGAAATTAAAGTTTGGATGGTCCATTATTTACTTTTGGAAGTTTTTTACTTGGATATGCCTCAAAATTCGTGCCCAATCAAGACAATTTTCAGCGACATATCAAGCAAATAAATAAAACATTTTCTTACTAAATTTTGTTGATAAGTGAAACATTATGTTTTAAAAAAATGAAGCATTATGCATACAAGTTTAATTAACTAATATTATATTTTATATGATAAATAAATTATATAAAATTAATGTTGAAATTATAAACATCATAGATGATGACTTCTTAGGAATGATGATCGCCGAGGTCCAATTTTCTTGTTATCTCATCTTTTTAGGGATTGAGCGGTGTGGCTCATTGATTTATGGACGATAAGTTCTTCCCCCGCTGCTCGTGCTCGAATCCCATAACTTATAAAAAAGAAAATTCATAGCCAATAATGGTTGAAACAGAATGTTATTTCTCAATAGTCATTTCAAGAGTTATCTCTCTCCATCCCAACCTTGTCAACTAAACCTTAGTACTACCTTAGATGATATCAAATGTAAAGTGCAAACAAGAAGAGTTAAGTTTTGCTATAGCCATCCTTCGCTTGCTCTTGAGCTTAACTAATTAAACTAAGTTTAAATTTGAGCTCTACTTAATTTCATGAGTTCGAATTAGCTCTTTAGTTGACTCATTTATTATGAAAGACATAAATAATTTTAATTCAAGTAATTGTTATAATAAAATGATAAAAAAAATTATGGGAGAAATAAAAAAAAAAAAACAAACCACTTAATATTAAAAAACAAGATATAAATTTTTAATTTATTAATAACTTTGCATTGAAATATTTGAATTCTAATATTTATTAAAATAATATTAAAATAACATTTTTAAATGAGTCAACTCATTAAAACTAAGGCTTCATTTTGAGACAACTTTCTTACTAATTTCTTAAGTAATTTTTAGTACAATTTTTTTTTCCAAAAATATTTGTGCTAAATAGCTGCTTAGAAAGCAATAGAAAAGTTGTCTAAAATGAAGCCTACGAGTATATTTGAGATGTCCGCAATATTTTATAGTTTTCTTTCTTACTATTTCTTAAAATAGCTTTTTAATACAAAATTTTAATTTTTTTACTAAAAGCTTCTTTAAAAATGAGTAATAAAATCATCCCAAATAAAATCATAGAGTTAATTATAAAATTGCTGTGAAAAAAACAATTTTACAACCAACTCTATGAAATTTTTTTTTTATTAAATTAGATTTCTAGTCGGTTAAGTTAGTTACACCGAGCTCTCTGAAATCGCATAGGGATGGGACCCACTGCTGCACGAATTTTGGAGCGATGGCTTTTCTTATAAAATAATTTAAAAGTCTGTTGAGAAAAAAAAAGGAAAGAAAACTTCTATGCGCCTAAAAGCAAGCGGGAAACCCGCGGGGAAGAGCGACGGCGCATCGTTCTCCGCTACCGCGCCTCCTTCATTTATTTCATTACCCAGAAGCTTCTACGTTCTCCATCTCTCTCTCTCTCCTTCAAATCGCCGATTTCGTCACGTAAAACATCTGCGGCGCAGATCGCCTTCCTACTTCAATTTCAGAGGCGAAGCTCCTTCTTATTCCTCTGCTAGTGCTCTATTTCGGCTTTCCTTCCTTGCTTTAAGATCGTGAATCTATTGTGGTCTTATCGTCTTTTTATTTTATTCCTAGGGTATGTTCAATCCATGTTAAGTAAATTTATGTTTACAAAATGAATCTTTTATCATTTTTTTATGATTTTTCCAGTTTATCTTCATCTGAAAGCTCAGTGGAGAGAAAGGTTCTTTGGGGATGAAGTTTGGAGAGACTTTTACAGGGTTTCTTCACGGAGACCAAGAGTGGTTTTTGGACAATTGCTCGCACGTAGAGTACAAGAGGCTGAAGAAGGTTTTGAAAGCCTGCAGGTCGTTGCGGGATTCGAATGGTAATGAGCAGGAAGAGAGCAATGACGGAAATGATAGTACCGGGTCAGAGCAAGTCTGCCAATGCGATATCTGTCCAGGTTTGCAGACTCCACTTTGGGTTTATTTCGTGCCCTTTTTTTTTTCTGGAACATTGTATTGTGATGCCTTGGGATTTTGTTGTTTTTTGCTGCTAAACGCATGTTAAAAATATCCTCTTGTTTGGGCCTCTTTTTGTCTTTTGGATTTATTGGCGTCATCGTATTGGTGTAATGTTCTAAGCGTCGTGAAAGATTGAGAGAAAAGAGAGGAGTCCTGAAGGTTGAATGCAGGGTGGCATATGATGCCTCTTCTGTAGCCCTTAGATCACAAAATCAGATTTATTGGTTATGTTTTTGGAAATCGAATTGAGAGGTAGATGATTATGAACTAATAAAGTCTTTCGTTAATGTCCATGTTGGTGAATTGCCTTGATTTGTTGCCACGCAGTCCCATGTAAACCACAACTACAATAAACACTTGAAGAGGTACTCAATGTTTGAAACGGGTAAGTGAGCATTGTTCGTGATAAAAAAAAAAAAAAAAAAAAAAAACTATCCATGAACTTCAAAATATATGTTAGCCTTTCGAAACCAGATAGATATTGGAAAGAATTTTGAAGCAACTTTGTTGAAGATCATCTCTTGATTCATAGTTCCAATTATAAGAGGAATAACTTTGAGATATATGGGAAGAACCCATTTTTGTTGTACTAGAACAAAATCTTCTAATATCTTTGTTCTAAGTTAGTAGATAATGAAGTTAGGAAGATGCCAGCAAGGCTATAAATGATCCAAGTCAAGCCAAGCAGGTGATTGTTCATGTTTGAGTTCATTTATTATCAACTTTTTCAAGCTCGGTTCGAGCTTCATTTTGATTCAAGCTTTTTTGTTTGTGTTCAAATTTGGTCTATTTGAAATGGTAGATGTTCAAGTTTGATTTGTGTTCAGCTTATGTTTGATTTGTATCGTGCTTGTCGAGCTTAAAATGAGCAGCTCATATAAAATTATAAAGGAGCCTTATTGAGCTATTAGTGAGCTTTACTTTTGTCATGTACATTAACTTAACAAACACACCTTATTTAGCATACTAACAGACAATTAATTGAGCCTTATTGAGCTGGTTAATGAATTTATTTAGCGAGCTTTCTTGAACCTATAAACGAGCCAGGCTATCAAGCATTTTTGAGCTTAAAAATAAGCAGCTTGTTAAGCTTAGAAAATGATATTTGTTATGACTTCATGAACACTCAAAATAAACAACCCAACAAACAAAAAGTACTTCATGTTCATTAGCAAAAAAAAAATCTAATGAAAAAATATAACATAAAAAATGAAATAATATTTTTTTAATTAAATAAAAATTGTTTATTAAAACAAATTAGGGAGTGTGGGCTAGAAAGATGGGTTCGAAGTTCATTTAGCAAGTCAATCCTGAAAGGGTTAATATTTTGTCCATAATGAAATGTACACGCCTTTGTATTGTTTGCCAGCAGTTATAGAAAGGCTTGTTGAACTGACACAATTTCCAGAAGCTTTTTATTTATTTTGGGAAATTTTGAGAGCCATGCTCAGATTCATTGATAGTGTGGTCCTACAATTGTTGTGTGCATGAAGTTAAAAAAGAAATTGCTGGAATAAAAAAGTAACTAGCAACTGAAAAAGTACAAAAATTATATTTGTTTTCAAAATCTAAAACTGAAGTTGCTAAAAACCAAAATAGGGCTCAACATTGGAGTACATATCAAAGGTTCCATCAATGCTACTAGAAGCAAACGAGCTAGACAAATTTGTAGAAGCAGCAATGTTGCACCAAATAAAATTGAAATAATTGATACCATCATAGAAATGAGACTGTGTATAATCTATATTGCAGACACAAAAATATTTTGTATACATCATCAACCCAAAAATAGTTCTAAAAGATAATATAATATGTATGTCGTTCAGCAAATGATTTTCCAGAATGGTCCAAAAGAGATATGCTCTTTTGAAGAACCTCATCAGAAATGACAATCATTGTGAAGAACAGGTAAATCAAACAAGTAACAATGTTGAACCTGTCAGCATTATAATTTCAGCAAACAGGATTTGTAGCTAGGAGAAAAACACCAGGTTAAACCAAATCAATCAAGAATGATTCCAAATCAGAATGCAAGAACCTTCCAACCACCTATCATACAAGAAGAATTTCAGAGGAAAGAACCGTTCAACCAATATTCCAATGACCAAAACTATTCCAGCATCCAAGATCATCATGTTATCAATGTTTTTTTTTTAAAAGAACAGCACTCCGCAGTCTATTTAATTTTGATAAACAGCAATTACAGCAACATGAAAAACACCCAAAAAATTAATACCTTCCAAACCATTACAGAACTAAAAGCACAAAAAACAAAGATTGCAATAAGGCAAAAAACCATGCTGCTGAGTGCATCACAATGCCCATCCAGAATGATTCCGACCATATACATAGCAGATTTAACATTTTAAGAGTAAAATGACTGTAAGTCTGTTGCATGTCAAATGAGCACCCAAGTAAAATATAAATCATGGATAACAGTAAGAAGAGACCCAAGATTCCAACTTGCATGTCATAAGAGCTCTTTGATTTATGAGGGTTTCACTAAGAAGAGAGCAGTTCAAAGGTTGGCAGTCCATGTCCTGATATATTCTGTTTTTCGCTTGCTTAAGATTAGAGGTCACAGTGGAGATATAGGTGTAAGAGTTTGATAGGAAGTGGATGTAATTTCCTCAAAATCAGCGAATGGCAATAAGGAATTAGGAAGAACATACCAATACTCTTTTTATTGCAAGATACATGAAAGAAAACAACAAGATACAGTTGGATCTTCAATTGGAGAGGAAAATCTGGCTCTCCCAAATCCCTAGCCGGTGGCTAGTGTCCTTACAACCAAAGAAATTCTAATTTCAGCAAACTCAAAACATCCACCTAACCCTAGGAAAACAAACTCCTTAAAGCATACTATAATTTTCCGCCCAAATCACCCCAAATAGCCCTCCTATCTTTCCCTCCTAGTCGCCCCCTCTTTCCCCATTCAAATTCGTACCTAGGCTCGAGAGTCTCTGGCGAAACAGAGGTTCCACTTCCTATAAATGAGGTCCAGTCCCTCCTGGACCGGTTGGACCGGTCTAACAATACCCCCTTCCAAAGACTCACCTTGTCCTCAAGGTGGAAAGCCGAAAATTGATGTTTTTACTTTGGGATTATTTGTTTAAATTGCTCTCGTTAATTTCTTAAAGTAACTCCATCGCATGTACGTTTCACATCAGTCACAGTGGAGATATAGGAGTAAGAGTTTGATAGGAAGTGGATGTAATTTCCTCAAAATCAGAGAATGGCAATAAGGAATTAGGAAGAACATACCAATACTCTTTTTATTGCAAGATACATGAATGAAAACAACAAGATACAGTTGGATCTTCGATTGGAAAGGAAAATCTGGCTCTCCCAAATCCCTAGCCGGTGGCTAGTGTCCTTACAACTTAAGAAATTCTAATTTCAACAAACTCAAAACATCCACCTAACCCTAGGAAAACAAACTCCTTAAAGCATACTTTAATTTTCCCCCCAAATCACCCCAAACAACCCTCCTATCTTTCCCTCCTAGTCGACTCTTTCCCCATTCAAATTCATACCTAGGCTCGAGAGTCTCTAGCGAAACAGAGGTTCCGCTTCCTATAAATTAGGTCCAGTCCCTCCTGGACCGGTTGGACTAGTCTAACAATACCCCCTTCCAAAGACTCACCTTGTCCTCAAGGTGGAAAGCCGAAAATTGATGTTTCACTTTCTCGTACGGCTCCCATATAGCGTCATAGTCAGGTAGCTTCTTCCATTTTATCAGCACTTCCTTGATACCTCCTTCTCCCTATCATACCCCTTTTAGCTCCAGTGATTCCAATACTACCTCCAAATCCTCTATAAGTATCATAGGTAACTCTGCACTGGATGCATGATCCCCGATAGCTCTCCTCAACTGTAAAACATGGAACACCAGATGCATAGTAGCGATCGGTGGTAACTTCAAGCGATAAGCTTCTCAAGCAGCATTCGAATGAGGCAATAAGAAATTAGGAAGAAAAATATATCAAAACTTTTTTTATTGCAAGATATATGAAGAAAACAACATGATACAGTTGGATCTTCAATTGGAGAAGAAGATTCAGCTCTCCCAATTCCCTAGACGGTAGCTAGAGCCCTCATAACCTAAAAAATTCTAATTTCAGGAAGCTCAAATTATCCACCTAGCATTAGGAAAACAACCTCCTTAAGGCATACAATAATTTCCCCCCCAAATCCCCAAACAACCCTCCTGGCCACCCCCTCTTTCCCCATTCAAATTCGTACCGGGCCCCACCCCAAAAAGCGGGCGGGAGTCTCTAGCAGAACGGAGGTTCTGCCTCTTGTAAACGAGGGCTGGTCTCTACTGGATCGGTCTAACAGCGTTCCAACTTGCATCTTTAAGCTTAAGCTGAAAATTATGTCATTTATTGCAAAAGGGAAAAAGAGGTCCCATAAATTGGAATAAGCCAAGCTTCTTGAATGATGTCCATAAAATTTTGACATCTGCTCCAATAATTCTTGTACAAAAATCTTCTTTTAAGAGGCTGATTTCCAAAAGATAATATAATAGGAGAGTGATCTTAAGATAATGGAGACACAACCTAAGGGGTATAAAGGGTATTGTTTTAACCAGTGAGTTTTGCAAAAGACCCTATCAATAAAGCATAAAATAGGTTTGTTGAGGAATTGATTGAACCAACGGTAAGGCATGCCTATATTTTAGAATTGCACTAGACTAAAGTTAAAGATGCAAGTATAGAAATCGATAAGTTTGCAAGGGAGTCAAGGGTTACCACTAATTTTCTCCTTTTTTTCCTAATACAATTGAAGTCTCTAATAACAATCCAGGGATTAGGTATAGGATAAAAGATCCCTGCAATAGCATCCCAAAGAATTTTTCTTTTGTTAGCACCATTTTTAACATTTATAAAAGTAATGAAGAAGTTAGAGGATTGAGAATATATGAGCCAACCATAAATAAATTAGGAGTGAGTAATCAAAGTAGTAAAAGATGTAGAGGAAGCATCCCTCTTAATCCATATATGACTATTTCAAGGCAGATCAAAGTCATTACAATTATCTTTCATAGTAAAAATTTTGTATTTGCTAGAAGAGAAAGTCTTCTTGAGAAGAGGTATTCAACATAATTTCTATTAAACAAATGAGATTAGCATGATAGTTTTTGATAATGTTTTTGAACTCAGTGATTTTTCATCACCATTATTCCCTCTTACATACCAAGATATTATGATAAGGATAAACTTAAGGTAGTTATATTTGAGTACCACATTTATTCCTAGCCTTTCTTTGCTTGAAAGTAAAGGGGGTCACATTTTGAGCCTACTGCAAGGTATTAGATGTAGAGAGAGAATGATCTGGGATGTTAGATGAGCTGCTATGAAGCTCTTTGGAACCAACCAACTTGGTTTGGGGAGGATGCATGGATTTGGATGGGGAAGAGTGATGGTTAGCATCGCTTTGATGGAGAGCATCATTAGAGCTAAAATAGAAGGATCTTTTGAATGGCTTGATACAGGTGAAATGAGTGAATTAGAAGATCTGACACTACAACCAGCATTCGAAGGAGGCATGTTAATGTTTGGCAAAACAGTCTGTGCTTGAGGTGTGGATGAGGTAGGAGAAAGAGGTGACCACTTTAGTAGTTGTATTTTGTTTAGGTTTACTGTGAGAGGGCTGCAACTTTTTTTAATACTCATTCGTTTTGTAGACTCAAGAATTTTTGGATGATCGGAAGCTTCATGGGCAAAGGTGTTACATGTTACACATGGAGGGCTTCCATTCATAAAGCTCGGGTTGTTGTATGTCTTTTCCTTTAACAGAGATGGTGACAAAGATAGGGAGAACAAAGGTAGTTGAAATCTCAATTGAAATCCTAGAAGAAGTAAGCCTTGTCCTTTTTGTAATGAGAGAGTCAATGATTAAGAGTATGCCTATATTGCTTGCAATTTTTTATATACCCTTCTTTGACCAACAACATAATGGTAGGTTAGGAAGTTTACCCATATAGGTACTTCCCTAAAATCTTCTTTCAGGGGAACAAAATCTAGCTTCCATGACTTGAATATAAAAGGCTTGCTACTAACAAACCAAGGACCACCAGATAGAACCATATCCATGTTTTTCACACATGAAAATTTAAATAGAAAAAAAAAATGTCTGCTAGAGAGAATAGCTCAAAGTTACATTTAAGCTTTCAAATTCTACTTACAACAGTTAACAGGTTGCCATGTAATGGCTAACGACTGATGGCATATCCCACAAGGAAGGTCCGGGGTTTTAATCTTCCTCCAGCTCTTCATCAGAAAGTGAAATCTTCTCATCCGACGAGTTGATGAATTTGAAGAAGGAAGAAGCACAAGGGACATTAGTAGTAAGAACCTTTACAAAGAAGTTTTTATTTTTAATTTTTTTTTTCTTTTTGGGGGGAGATGTGTACAGTTTTGAACCCAAAATCAAAGGTGGAACTACTGAGAGAGGCGGGAACTTCGAATCGCCATACCGTTTAACTCTGGTTAAGCTAGAGTACCAGTTGCCGATCCATGATGGAATGTGAGAAGAAAGAACTAGAGGAAGAGAAAGAGATGGCGGCACGAAACTTAGGAGGGACTGTAAGCTCCGCAATGTGAGCAGCTGTGAAGACAGAAAATAGACTTAGAAAATAGACTAATCTATTAATCATTTAACCATCCTCTTTTTTATCTCACAATTTCAACGCATGCAGAGAAGACAGAGGAGAATAGTAGAAAATAAAAACACAAAATTAATAACCAACTAAAACATCATCTTGCTAATACATACAGTATATAGGCCAAACTTGGATGGTGAAGAAGAAGATGCTACGGCGTGTCCATGGCTTGTAGACAAAATCGATTGCAAGAGGGTCGTGTAACTTCTAACTGCAGAAAAAAAATGCTCGTGTGACCTTCTATTGCGGAGAAGAACAGGAAGCTTGTCCAAGCCAAGAACATGCAACCTCCGATGGGAGATAGTTGTTACACAAATCAAGTTATGGTGCAAGCCTTGTTGCGAAGACAATGACTACTTGTATGATTTCCTAAGGGTTCAAGCGATTTCTTGTGCCATGAAAAACTCCCTGCTAAAATGATTGTTGAATTATGTACATTTGTGCCCCATGTATGTTGAATTATGTACATGATCTCAAGATATTGCACTTCTATTTGAGTGATCTTTGGGACCTAATGTGTGTGAAAGTCAGTGAGCTTGTGTATAAACGAGTCCATATCTATTGAATTATATACATGGCCTCCATATGGCTTTTCTAGGTGTATCTTATTTAACACCTTGTTCCTAGCCCTACAAACAAATACTTTTGTATATATGCATTAAATCTACCTTTTAGAATTCTCTCTGCAATTGCAAATTTAAAGAAGTTAACTTGATTTTTAAGATAATTCAATTTGTTAATCTAAGTGGATTAAAATTTTGGCCTTTTACTTTTTCTTGCGGTACAGCGTTTTGATAATATATTTAGTCTTATGTACGACAGTATGCCTTGAGAACTCTTCACATATTTGTTTGCCCAAGTATTTTCTAAAACAGCTTTTAAAGTGTAGTTTAATTAGCTTGTAGCATGGATGTTACTTCTTTGCAGCCCATATAGTTATAGCAGTTCTAATGCTGAAGATTCATTTCTTTCAATTGTTAGCTTGTGATCAGAAGTTCTTTGATGAGCTATCAAAGGAAGCTTCAGACATTGCTGGATGTTTTAGCTCAAGAGTTAGGCGACTTCTCCATTTTCACTTTTCCAATGGATTGCAACGGTATATGCGGCGCCTTAGCCATTGCTTTTCAGATGATCAGCAAACTTCTGTTCAAGAAGTGAGGATGTTACTTGATTATGTTACTATGAATGCCGTTGCTATAAGAAAAATACTCAAGAAGTACGATAAAGTAAGTTTTTCTGTAGGTGGCTTCCATCCTTTTATTTTACAGTGATGAGTTATTTTCAATGTAATTCCATTGTAATTTCTTCGTGTCGTAAGGTTCATGGCTCTGTTAATGGTAGAAACTTCAAGATGGTAATGCGTGCTAAACGGATAGAACTATTGCAATCACCTTGGCTAATAGAACTGGGTGCATTTTATTTGAACTGCGCTGGTTCAGATGCAGGTGAACCTGGTTCATTTTTCCGAAAGTTCTCTTGTGATCTATCTGATTCCCAACCTGTAATGACGATGGTTCTATTGGATTCCATTACCTATGAATACAGTTTGAGTTGCCCCATCTGCTTGGTAAGGTTCCTCTTTTATACTCGCATATATTGTCACTGAACAATTCCATGTTTATACTGGAGTAGATATTGTGCATCTTAGTTTTATGTCCTTAAATATAGTTAGTTGCTTTCTGTTAATAGTGTGCTAGGTGTTTAGTTTGCATGCCAGCGTTCGATCTTTAGTATGTGCTTGGTGGAGTCTTGTTCTGTAAATAATATAAGAACTCTCTATGGCTATGGGTATCCAAAAAATTTTGATCGAGATTGTGGCGACAAAGCTATTTGAACAAGGGTGTGGTCCTTTAGAAAAATAAAAGGGCTTCAGTTTTAGACTTTTAGTTCTTATCAATAAGGTTATATCAATACATGTGATAAATCATAGTTCTTATCAATAAGGTTATATCAATACATGTGATAAATCAGGCTGGAATCAACATATTTGTGTTTCACTCTTCTTAACTTTTCCTCAGCCAAGCTTAGCAGAATAGCCAATTAAGCACAGTATTATTAGAATAGAAATTTATTCTTCTCTTCATTCCTAATATTATGTTGCTCGCAGTAATTGTAGCCTTTTTGGGATCTCGCATCTATATTTGATATATTGATTTTGTTTCCCAATTTTTGTAGAACAGAAGGTATATTGAAAGATATATTTGTTTGTTTTAATCTGGAGGATACAAGTTTTGGGCATTGGCCTATGCACTGCATATATTTGGGTTTTTTCAATTCTCCCTTTCTTGTAACTTTTATCTTCTTCTTTTTTTCTCTCTCTCTTGATGAGAAGTGTTAATCCCAGCTTTGTCATTTATACGCTGGTGTTGACCTCCATGTAATAACCAAGAGTTTGATATATTGATTTTGTTTCCCAATTTTTGTAGAACAGAAGGTATATTGAAAGATATATTTGTTTGTTTTAATCTGGAGGATACAAGTTTTGGGCGTTGGCCTATGCACTGCATATATTGGGGTTTTTTCAATTATCCCTTTCTTGTAACTTTTATCTTTTTTTTTTTTTCTCTCTCTCTTGATGAGAAGTGTTAATCCCAGCTTTGTCATTTATACGCTGGCTTAATCCCAGCTCTGCCAAATCTTCCTTTTTTTTCTAAGAAAAGAAAATTAAAGGCTTTAAGGTCAATAATATCAATACTACCAAATTCTTTAGGCCTGCAGATGTTTTTTCCAGCTAGCTTGAATAAGGCCTTCGCCATTTTCTTTGTCTCTATCCAAATAAGTTCCTTATTTATATATAAGATCAATAATATTTTGGCCGCCAAATTCTTTAGGCCTGCGGATGTGTTTCCAACTAGCTTGAATAAGACCTTTGTCATTTTCTTTTCCTATCCAAAATAAGTTCCTTCTAATGCTATTAATTTAGTTGACACCCACTTATGCAACCAAAAAAAAGGAAAAAATAAAAAAAATGTATAATGAGATAGAAGTAAGGATTGAATTAATTAGAATAGTTCAGTTCATTTGGACAAACTGTTGCCCTTCTTCCTAATAATCTTTTGATTGATGTTGTCAATCAAGGGGATCCAAAAGGATTTTTGCAATCATTTTGCACCATGATGAATACCCCAATAATTGAAATGAAGTTTTTCCACAGAACAGCCCATCACCTCAGCAAGGTCTCTACTAACATAGTTTCCAAGAAAATTTTAGGAATATTTGTAGTAGTTGATTTTCAATCCATAAATGAATTCAAATAGAAACTGAATGTTTAAGGAAGATAACTTGTTGTTTGGGAGTAGTACCCAATCAAAGAATCTAGAAAATTGAATACTGCTCCAGGGAGACATCGGTTGCGACTGAAAGCATCTTGTGAAGAATGCTCACCAGTGTTAAAATAAGACCCAATGGCTCCCCTTGTCTTGATTTCTTAAAGGTTTTAATTTTTTTTTCCAAGTTTATCATTCTTAATAACTTGTGAAGTAGCATCCACAGTAGATTCTTTCACCCAAGAAAAGAAAAGAAAAGGAAAGAAATGACTAGTAAGAATAGAAAGAATAAAGTTCTGATCACTACGTCCAAACACCTTGCCAAAATGAACTTTAAAGATGAATTTTTCCATCTTGTTTTTGAGTGAGCAATGGAGAATTTCATGAGCTATAGTAATACAATCCATAGTACTCCCTTCGATGAAAGCGTCTTGAGAAGAACCCACTAATTTTACATTCTGAATGATGTTGCAATTTTTTTATTTCCTATGCCAATATCGAGGAATTATGGCCTCTTGATTGAGCTCCTTTTCAAGGGTAGCTCACATTGATCTATAGGCTGGAGCTTTGGCTATTGACCAAGAGATCTTGAATTTAAGCTTGCCTATGCGATGTATGTATGTGTTTCCCTTTAATTGGCTAAAAAGTAAAAAAATAAAAGAAAAACTCCTCAAGTATTAGCTTCTAAATCCTATTTTATTAAGGTTGGAAATATTAGAAAATGACTCCTCGTTCTTTAGGAGAGTATTTCTAACATTTTTTTTCTGGAGAATTAAAGGTGTGAATACTTATCATTTTAATGGAATTCTTTTGACAGGATACCGTATTTAATCCTTATGCTTTGGGTTGTGGACATCTTTTTTGCAAAAGTTGTGTTTGTGCTGCAGCGTCAGTTCTAATTTGTGATGGTCCTAGATCTGCATCTCGCGAGGCCAAATGTCCTGTATGCAGGGAGGTATGTTTCATTATATAATTTATTCAGTCCTTTGTATGTTAAATAATTTATATTTTCCTTCTATGTTCTTGTCTTACATTTATAATGAACTGTAAACGGCTGGTCCTAAATGTTTTAATGCGACAATTAGCCTCCAATACCATCTACTAATCTAAGAAGCAACTCCATTTTCCCTGAATTCCTCCAACTATTCAAATAATTTAGCCAAGCTGTGCGTGGGTTGTATGGAGTTTGTTCTTCTCAACGAGGAAGCTTAGCTTCAAATCATCTTTAAACTGTTCACTATACTAAGGCTTCGTTTGAGACGGCTTTCTTACAGCTTCTTAAAGCAGCTTTTTTGTATACAAATTTTAATTTTTGTATTAAAAAGCTATTTTTGGAAGCAATAAGAAAGCCGTCTCAAACGAAGCCTAAATTAAACTCAAAATAAAATAGTGAAAATAAGCATTTTATCATGGAATTAAACATCTTCCATACAGGTCGGCGCCTACCGTGACCCAGTGCATATGTTAGAGCTGGATCATCTACTACGAAGCAGGTAACTTCTACCTGATTGTTCTTTGTTTGCTTTTCTTTTTCTAATTTCCAGTTCAATCTTCAAACCGAGCTTCACTGCTCAATATCTTATTGAAATCCTTCATAGGTGCAAGGAGTACTGGAAAGAGAGGCTAAGAGAAGAACGCGCTGAGATGGTAAAACAAGCCAAGCTGTACTGGGAGAGGCAGACCATAACTGCGTTGGGATATTGAATCTGCTTATTTTTTTTATCTCTAACTGCATTATTCAGAATCTACAGGCAATAAACCTTACTAGCAATGAAAAGGAATATGCGTATATGGTATATATAATGATTTGTTGCCACAGAACCTGAAGAAATTATGGCTTTTACTGATTCATATTGTTTCATTTTGTCATCTGGAATTTGGAATTTGGTCTCAGTTAGTTTGGAAATATTCTTAATTTTTAATAATTTTGATTGTTGAAAAACATAAATTAATATAAAAATGCGTAATTTTTTTTT